GAAAACGTGGTAAATTTTATTTTCAGTTGATTAACTATTAAAGTTTCCAACTGATTGTAAAAATTAGACTCTAAAAAAAAAATCAAATAATTATTAGATTTTTTCCCAGTATCAAATCTTAAACATAATATTTAAGTATTCTCTCATTATAAAGTTGTTATTCGTAAAACATAAAATCAATCTGTTGTCAAGTGGCCAGGTAGGAAGACTTTTTAACGTGACTAAATATATCTTTACAGATAAACAGGGATTGATAAAAATTATGTTAAATTCATAGTAAGCGTATCCATGATTTTCATATGGGGGGGGGGGGGGGGTAAGCTATTAGTTTGGATTTTCATCTGCGAATTTTATTGGAGATCTTAAACACTTATTGTAGACCTTTGGCTGTGTTATATAAAAATAATTTTTGGTTTTTTACTTTTTTATATTAAAAATTTTAAAAAGTAGTCGTTATTTTATAAAAATTAGTAAATTTTAGTTATTTTTCTATCAAATTAATAGACTGATGGGGGGGGGGTGTTTGGGGTAAAAATTTCGTTTAAAATGATATTAACAACAGGCAAATTTCCGATGGGGTGAGAAAATACCCCCCCCCCCCCCCCCATTCGTTACGCTTATGGTTCTATTACTGAAATCTAACAATTATTATTTATACTCATTTAATTATACATTTTTTATATATAATTTTAAATTCAACAATTAATATTTATCATTTAATTATGTATTTTGCATATGGATATATCAACTTAATAAAAATTTTTTTTTTTTAGCTTACTTCAAAATTTGAATTAGAATCCTAAATTTAACATATGCACACTTTACATAATTAAATGTAAGGGAAAACGTTATTTTATAAGTATCTAGATACCGATACATTTATAGACGATATCTCCGTATCTATATCTATGAAACATTTGAATAATATCTTTCAACAGCTCTGGTTACTTTGCCTAGATTTATTCTAAAATGTTTGAAATTGGATAAGGAGTTGGTGTTGAATTTATATAATTTATTCAAGTCTTTAGCCAAATTCTTATTAAACTTCAAAATTTAAATTATACATATAAATTAAAGCTTATGTCTTGATTATGAAGATGAGGCCAAAATAACGGAAAAAATTAATCATTTATACATAAGCATTTAAAAAATAAATTAATGTTTAGGTGTAAAATTAATTTAACACTACACCTCAATATAAACTAATTAAATATAAACGAATTTTAAATTAATAAAATATAAACGAATATTAAATTAATAAAATATAAACGATAAAATATAAACGAATATTAAATAAACTTAATTTAAACACAACAGTCGACTCTAATATAATTAATGTAACATGTATTTTTTTTTAAATATAAAAAAACCTTAACTATCATTATAAAACTACTATTACTAAAATGGCAATTTAATTTCACTAAGGTTTTATAATATATATCCACTTTATTTAAAAGCATTTCGATATAAAACATAACAATTTTTATTTTTCCCCAAAGAATTATCAAAATTGTTCTATTATACTGATCACACCCCGCATTTAGATATGGCCAAAAAAATTATCGTGCTGACACCTTATTGAGGTTTATATGTTATAAAAGCTGATCAGCCATAAATATCAATATTTGGGAATTTATTATAATTACAATATTTCCTATTATATATTTGTATATTTTTAGATAGGAATAAGTCTGTTTCGAAGGATCTGATAGTATTGTTACCCAATATTTTAGCCAAAAAACCGGAGATCTTCACGTAATGACTCGCGGCCAATACCAAGAGGGGCCAGGCATGGGCCTAATATTATATTTTCTAGCAGGCCTAGGTTTTTGAATATTTTTCTTAATAGGTCTGACCCTAAATTTTTAGTTTATTTTAAAACAGTTGCTAACATATTTTAATTTTTGCAAACAAAATGATGGCCTAAATACACTGTTAATATATAGCTTATTTTTTAATTAAATTAAAATTTTGAATATTGGCATGGGAAAATTTTAGAAAAATATTATGGGCTTGGGATTTTTTTAAAAATATTAAATATGGGCGGGCTTATAAAATTTTTATACTGCTGACCTGGGCTTAGTCTGATCAAAAAATAGAGGCCCATGAAAATATTTTCTCATAGATGGCAAAAAGGTTTAGACACCAAATAACGAAATTTCTACGCTTGCGTGTTATTTTTTGAGCGAAAATTTTGGATTAGCCGTTTAACAACACTAGGTTCCGGATATGTTGGTTCCTGTTCCAAACTTTGCAAAAATAAATTTAGTATGGGTTAAGGTTAAAAAGGGTTTTCGTTTAATTGTTGCATTGAAACTACCAAGGTAAAAAACCACATCCTCTTCATAACGATTATCAAAATGTTCTATTAGTATATTGATCATCTCTTAATGTGTCGAGACGAGCTCATTCCCACTTCTTCGATTGTGCTAAGGTAACATATAATGAATTTCGTTTCTATAACTTAAGAAAGGCTTATAACACCTATTAAAGAATTAAGTTCTTCTAAGGAAAATTCGATTTCACTTTAGCTTTAAATAAATTTGCTATCATTTAAAAGTTTATTCAAGCGCCTTATTTTAAAATAACTTTTCACACTTTTATATACAAACCTAGGATATTTATCGATAGAATATATCAATAGCCTATTTGTTTATGTGCGCATAAAATAATCTGTCCTTCATATTAAATAGTATTATTTTCGCGAGTTGTTATGGTTATGATGATCTATGTGAATTAAATAATAAAAAAATACTAATTTAATTAAATCGCTAATCGATTTTTCTCTTTTTTTTCCGCATTTTATTGAAATTGATTTTCTTGTTTTTTTCGGCAAAGTGCAAAAATAATGTATAAAGTATTTGTATATTTTACGAATACCTTTAATATTTTTTTTATATTCTATCAAACGATGTTTTTTATTTTAAATTTGTTTCAAAGGTTTATAACTTCCAAGGGTATGAATAGCGCAGCCCAGGTCTCACCCCTTCAGGTAGATTCTCTAATCTCCCGTAATTTTTTTTAAAAAAACTCTCATATCATTTTTTTTATTATAATTTAATTTTAGAAGAAGAAAAAAAAATTATTAATGAAATTTGAGTACCCTCCATCTTTCTATTAGAGGTTAGTTTTTAAATTATATAATGATAAATATGTCGTGTAATCAATATTTCACTAGCGCGACATTTTTTTTCTTCTTTATGCTGGGGTTAAAAGCGATAAATTGTCTTAATTATTGAATTCAAGTAAATTTTTTATCAATATTATATATATTACTATCTTTAAAAGGTAAGACATCTCCATTAATATTGCTGATCAATGTCGTTTTAAGAAACAAATTTATAAATAAAAATATTTATTTAAAATAAGACCAATAGTTTTACTTTTCTATAATAAGAAAAGCTCATCTCTAAAGTTTGTAATAATAAAAAGGGGAGCCAAATAAGAGGCATCTCCTCACCCGACCGAAGGGCCGTCTGCAAAATATTTCTTCACCAAGAAAATTCCTGGCAACCCAGGGCATGAAGCACTATTTAAACTTCTCCACGAAATAACATTTTATTATTATGTCACTGCATCAGTATAATAAAAATAGGTTATAACTAGTTCCACTAAATAACTTCGTTACTAACAGAGTTACTTTTATGAGGAAAAGAATACCATACGTTACTTTTTCCCCAAATAGTAACGAGTACTAGAATCTTTTTTTGAATTTGAATTTTTTTCTTAAAAAAGTATGAAAATAATATATTTTATTGTATGATATATTTTTTTAAAATTTTATAAATAATTTAAGCCAAGTTTTTATTTGAGATCAACCAACCAACATTTTTATTCTATTTATCAAATTTCTATTTTTAAATTTTATACAGTTAAAGATTGTTAATCTAATTATTATTGAATGAATCAAGGTGGGTTAAATTTATATTCTTTTAATATTATAATTTATTTTTTAATGAAAATATATGTTAATAATAGTAACTTATTTCTTCAAGTAAAGGTGATTTAACTCTGACTGGCCCTCAGTTACAAACCATTTTAAGCAAAATTAAGGGCACTAAGTCTATGCGTAGATTATGCCCTAATTCAAATATTTCAATAAAGATTTTAAAAATCGATGAAGATTTGAATGGAGATGATCTTATTAGATTTTTTTTGTTTTTTTTTGAAAATAAAGATTATTAATATTTTTAATAAATTCCCCCAATTGAAATTTTTATTTATTAAATATGAATATATAACCCTTCCATCATCTGCGCCAGTTAAACGATTGTTTAGCATAGCCAAAGCTGTGTTAAATATACTAGGGTCTCTTGTTCATCAGATCAAAATTTTGAAATTCAATTGTTTAAAATAAATGAAAAATTATTATTAAAAATATCTTTATAAAATATTATTTTTATTATATGTTAGGAAAAAAATAAAATTTTTTCATCATTATTCAAGTATTTTTTTTGGGTTACTCGTTTTTGATTAGCGAGCAACACCTTCCTTGCTTTTTCAAAAGTAACGACTAGCACGTTTCTTTTTTTTAAAGTGTTTTACAACACTAACTTTAACCAATTAAACTAGTCATCATATTTTGTTCATTGTTTTAAGTACGCTAAGATGATTAACGATTTTTATTTTCTAGTTAAATTAACATGAATTTTTTCAAATACACTTAGAAATTCGAAATGCAAATGTTGTTGGAGAACGAAAAAAATTATACAATAAAATTTATTTGTCTAACACGCGAATTATATATTAATCCAAATTTTTATAATTTTATTACTGATATTAAAAAAAATATATACATATTTTATCTATTTTTTTCCCTTTAATTCATTTAAGCAAATATTAAAGAAGTTTTTCTCAAAATGTTAATAAATAAATGTATGATTATAAATATCATTAGATATTATCAATGGGATTAAATGGGAAAAGGCAATATAGTATTTAATACTATTAAAATTTTCAGTTGAAGTAACCTAAAATATTTTTTTATTATTTTAATTTAGGATTATTTTGCAATGCAACCTGGGATAGTTTCTATTGTTGGCCAACTACTCCAGCCGGAACCACTATTTATAAGCCATGCCCAGTGTCGCATTTTACTCACAAAGGTTACGCGTATTACATTTTGTAATATATATACTTCACAAATGACAACACTAATTTAAGATGACTTTGTTATATAAAAAGTTTTTATAAAATGTTTAATAATGCGTTTGAGTCATACCCAGGAACGAGTTGCACCACTGAGGCTATCTTTTCACTTTCAGGTTATGTGAATAGTAACCGTTATTTTTAGCTCTTTGTTTATTATAAATTACCCATTTGATAATATAGGAGTTTATCTATCCGGAACTATCTATACATTTTAAATTCAATATTTCGATATCGAGATTGCACTCTTGGTCTAAAACTAATATAACTTTGCTCATTTTACCATCGTATAACCAATCAACTATATACTTACCATTTCTGCATGGTGCTATGTTATCCAATATATTGTTATACTTTTTATACAACTGATTAAAACGTATGACGTGACACTGCAGATTATAGATGAACATTTTTTTATGAACTAGCTCCATGACGATGAGTTATGATATATTTTTTTTTATAGGCTTCAGATATGTTCACTTTCTTAGGTTCCACCAAATCATTTTGTGGGGTAATCAATATATTAAACATTTCTCTTTAATCTTTTCCACTTAAAATAATCTAATTCTGATGTATATTGTGACAAAATTAATCTCCTGTATGTAGTTCATTGACCTTAAAAGGTATTGATTTTATTTACACTCAATTTCAAGGCATGAATGACTCATCTACCTAAAACCCTGCTAGTCACAATAAAATTTTATTACTTTAAAAAAAAAATGGAATCCTAAACTATCCATCCAACGTTCAGTCACTTAGAAGTCTCAGCTGTTATATTCATAATTCCTTTCAAATCCTTTATTCCATATTGGCCATAGAGCTTTAATTAGTTTGATCTCATTGTTCTGAGAGTATCAACCTATAACTTTTTGCTCTCATATCACTACCAATCACTTTCATTTAATTAAACCCCCATAGGCAACACTATGTCAATAGCTACTCAAAATATTAACGCCACCTTTCATTATATAATTCACAAATCGATCCTTTCTCCACCTTTGATATTTATAACCGTATATCATATTCTGGCATTATTCCTTCAGATTCTCATATCTATAATCTTTCATTTCTGTCACCCTCCTCTTATCTTTATTGGGATTAGGATAAGCCTCTAAAATTTTCTATTCCCACCTCATTAATACATTTTTCCTCTCCATTTATTTTGAACATACAAATTCCAACTTCATTTATCCTTCCTTCCTTAAATATATTTATAAAGCTCATTTTATTCTAAATTTTTTATAGTAACTCTATTATTGCATTGGCATGGAGTCGACTCAAGAGTTAAAATTTTAAAATAATGAATTTAATCTTCACTTCCACCTTAGCCAATTTAAAATTGTCACTGATTTTATTCTGACCGCAATAACTTTCGATATATTTTACTAGGTTGGTTTCTCTATTACTTCCTTAATACCATCATAATATTCTGTCCAATATTTCCTAGACACTCTTTAGTCTTTATGTGATGATATATGCAAGAAGCAATTTGCCAAGCCCAGTTCCAAATCACTTCCTTAATATATCTTCTATCACTACTCCTCTACATGCATTTTCTTGATGATATATCCCTAACCCTCTCTTTTTACTGATGCGTATATATTCTCAATTAACGGATCTGAAATTATACTATTAACACCAAGCACCATTTTTTAAAACTTTTCAAATTCAATCTATATAATATAATTTCCCCTCCTTTAAATATTGAATTATTAACGTTTCCATATTTTTTTTATTAAATTAATAGGTAGTTTAATTTTTAATATTAGTTGGTGATATTTTTTATTAACAAAGTAATTTTTTTGAATATATTTAATAGATGCTAGAGCGTTCCGCGTTTGCGAATTGGACGGACGGTGGGCACGAAATGGTTGGACAAATTATTCTGCTTGTTTGGGTTGTTTAGATCCCCAATCTCCCTTTTATGGTGCTTGCCAAACAACTAAAGATGATGAGCAGGTGTCATGTTTTTGCAAATGCCTCTTAAAATAAAATTGATTTTTAAAAATAATATACTTTAAATTATAAATTAAATGATTTGTTAAAAAAAATATGCTTTATGCAACACTAAGCATCAACGTATCACTAGAATAATACGTGATATCACATTTTTTGGAAGTATTATCTCGTTGGCTTTCTTATCCATCGCCTTTGCCATTTTTACCCATTTCAGGTTTATTTTCATTGTTAGATGTTACGTATATATTACATTATAATCCTTATATGATTTTTTTTTAAAGCAATGTAAAAAAATTCATGAGTTAACCATCTCTTTTTATTTTACAAATCAAGTAAATGATTAATTATACTTTAAGGAATAGTTTTATAATCGATTTAGATATTATAGCCACTTTATAAGATTAGTTTTTACGTAAAGATGTTCGCTTGGAGGTTTTATTATCAATCATTTATAGATATGAAATATTTGTAATACATCATGTATCATATTTACGATATATTTTTAAATTTGAAAATACGTAAGCTAAAAGTATAATTAAAAAGGTTTTAAATTTCTTTTTTTTAATGAATTAATTAAAAAACTTTTAAATTTTGAACGAAAATTTCATATTTTATGAAAAACATTTTTGCAGTTATATTAATTATTTTATTAAAATGACGCAAAATCTTTATAATAACTATTTTTTTTTTAAATAAAAACCTCCTTAAAGTGAAAGGATGATTTCATTTTTTAAATTGTTTTTATGTGGTGTGCAAAATTTATTATTGCCATACTTTTTTAAAATTAATCAATCACGTAAAGTTAGCCACGAATCTAGACTTCTCATATTTCAAAAGAAAATTCCCTATAATTGGGATTAATTTAAATTGATTCTTTCTTTCTTTTCTTTTCTTTTCTTTTCTTTTCTTTTCTTTTCTTTTCTTTTCTTTTCTTTTCTTTTCTTTTCTTTTCTTTTCTTTTCTTTTCTTTTCTTTTCTTTTCTTTTCTTTTCTTTTCTTTTCTTTTCTTTTCTTTTCTTTTCTTTTCTTTTCTTTTCTTTTCTTTTCTTTTCTTTTCTTTTCTTTTCTTTTCTTTTCTTTTCTTTTCTTTTCTTTTCTTTTCTTTTCTTTTCTTTTCTTTTCTTTTCTTTTCTTTTCTTTTCTTTTCTTTTCTTTTCTTTTCTTTTCTTTTCTTTTCTTTTCTTTTCTTTTCTTTTCTTTTCTTACGAAGTTATCCTGAAATTGATAGTGTAAAATATTCAGCGCATGCTGGAAAATATTTAAATCAGATATTTCGAAATTTTTAAGGGCCCTATTAAATAAACGATTTTAAAGTTATGGCGCAATAATTTATAGCACACGTTATTTTAATATCTAATTTTGCCGAAAAAATTTCAACGTACGTGTAAAATAATCCTTTTTTCCCTAAAAGTTTCAAGCAAATTTTGTAAAACGTTAAACATATTCAACTTAGGCGAATCAATTATAAACATTAAGTAACATATATACTTTATATTACCAAAATTAGTATTGTAAAATGACTCGATTTAAGCCGATTTTTAAAAACGGCCGACTCAATATTTTTAGCCAGAAAAATATTGGCTAAGCCTTGAAATTTTTCAAATCTTTTTGCCACCTATAAGTCAAATGGCTTGCTTAGTATTTTTCTGACTAATATATTGAGTTAGACATTTTTAAATAGTCGGTGACTAACCAAAATTATTCAATAATCTACTAATCACATCAATTACTAAAAAAATTTTTTTTTATTTATTTAGAACGTTAAGATGCATAAGAATATCGATTCATAAGCACCTAGTTTTAGCGTTCATATTTAGATCCCTCATGACTATCGCGATCGCGGAACCAGCGGTTATGAAGCGGGTCATCTCGTATAGACAAATTGTACGTAATAGCATAAGTTGATTTTTTTTAAATTTTCTTTTATAATTCAATTCAATTTTTAATAAACTTATAGTATTAATTAATAACGATTTTTTAAAATAATAATAATATTAAAACATATCAGGAGTGGTTATGTAAACTGATTATTAGTATCAACATATACGGAACATTAGCCAGCATAGCTTGGATGTTTAATGAAGGGTTATATCTACATAGCCGGATTGTAACATCCGTTTTTACCTCAGATAATATTCCCTTTTGGATATTCCATTGCATTGGTTGGGGTAATAATTGTCTTATGTGTTTTTTTAAAATAGGTATTTGATATTTAAAGAGATATGCTCAGCTCTAATCTTTATTAAAATCACAAGCTTAGAATATTATCGTTTGAATTTATCTGAAAATTCATAAAATTTTTGATTATCTTATATTTTTAAGTCTTTAGCTTTAAATACGGAAATATTTATCAAGATTAAAAATTTTAGACCAATCGTTTTATATTATATTTGCTTTATAAAATAAATAATAAAAATAATGTTTTAAAAAAAACGGAAATATATTTTAGTTTTACCTCTCTTTTTTATGGCGCTATGGGCGATACTTATAAACAAGTCCAATCATGGCCATTGTTGGAAAAATTACAGTTCTTCTCAGTTCATCTGGATCATAGGAGTTCCTATGATATTAGCGCTGACGGTAAAATAATTTTCATTATTCAATTTCTCTATCTCGTATATTTCTTTCTTTTTTTTCCCCTTACTTAGATAAATTTGTTTTTCTTAGTCAACATAATACGAATATTAGTGTTAAAACTCAAGGCTTCCAATTTAGTCGAATCAACCAACATGAAGTTTATATATTTTTTTAAAAAATTTAATAATTATCAATTTACTTCATTTTTTTTTCAAATAAGGAAGACCGTAAAAGCTACCATCATTTTGTTTCCTTTGTTGGGAATAACGAATTTGTTATTCTTTTTTAACCCTAAAGATCAAAAGATACTCGAAAATATGTATCTGTTAGTTAACGCGCTTTTGCAAAATTCTCAAGTGATATTATTATTATATTAAATAAAAAACAAAAACGAAATAAATTTTTTATTTTAGGGAATATTTGTGTCAGTGTTGTATTGCTTCTTAAATGGCGAGGTAATCAATCAAACTTCTTATATTTGTTTATAATTTTTCATGGTTCAGGACCCGACTTCCGGTTCAAGAATTGCGAAAATTTTGATACCAGGAACTTAATCGAAAACCAAATTTCTAAAAGAAATCGAACAAGCTCAGAGTCTATATTTCTCTGGATTTGCATGGGTTGCCCCCAAAATCAGCCTTTGTTTTGTCTATGGTCTCAAAATGTCTAACCAAACAATTATAAATTTCTGAAACCTAATTTGGGTCCTGAACCATTTAATTTTATATTATTTATTTTATTAGGGGTCGTAGAGGTGGTAAGGGTTTAGAATTAACTATTTTCATCTTGAGGTAGTAATTTAGCCCTAAACATTCCGATTTAGTTGTATTAACCTGTTTTCTTGGAAAAGAGACTGATCACTCTTCAAACTTATAAGTCAAAGGAACTAGAAATCCATAATCTCAAGAATATTTTAAATTAAGCAAAAATAAGCTATGCATAATGATAACAATAAATTTGCATTAATTTTTTTTAAAAAAAATGCCTTTATTAGCTAATTTTTTTAAAAATATTCCATTAGGATAGAATAAAATTTTAGTACTTCATTATAAATATCTTATTTGAAAGAAATAAATATTCTAACACAAACAAATTTTTTTTATAATTATAACTATACATACTTTGTGAGGGCTTAAGCTTAGAGAAAGGTTTGTATTTTGGGTCTTAAAAATTTTTTTACCTATCTAAGAATGTCTAAAATTTATAAATTTACGAAGTCAATCTATTTAGAAAGATAGGAGTAGTAACTTAAATTGTTTTGAATTTAACTAAAATTTTTATTTAAAGTGATTCTTTTCATAGGTTTGGCCAATATTTTGGCCTTTTCTCTCTGATTTTTATTGGAGGAATCTTATTCCGATTTTTTTGCAGAATTTTGGGTGATTTCTTTAAATTATTGTTCCAAATGACACGTAATAATTGTTTTTGGAAACAGGGGTTTCGGGGAGAGATAATTTTATGTCAAAATTATATCTATTAAAAACTAATTTTGCAAAGAGGGTATTTCCTGTCCCACTCATTGAGTTTGCTTATAGTTCTTTTTGAGGACAAAAAAACCAATAGTGTTGTTAAAATGTCATGAGTCGTGACCCCAACTCAAAATTCGAGTGGTTTTTTTCTACCTCGGCCCGAATTGAAGCCAAAAACCTCACTTAAAATCTTGGTCGTTTATTTGATCCAAAATTTGGGTCGTTTGTTAAGACTTAGACCAAAATCGGATCCGAAATGACCAACCCGACCCAAAGTTTAAGTTGTTTTTTGACTTGAATCAAAATCAATGACACTTTTTTTTCGACCAATAGCCGAATCGGGTCGACTTTGATAAATATATTAATATAAATAATGAATAACCAAACAAATAAGTGAATATATATTATCTAAAGCTTAGAATATTTTCTTGATTTGACTTTATTGTTTTTTTTATTAGGTGAAAGGAGTAATCTATAAAAAATACAAAAACTATCGCCTATCGCAGATCCATTCCATAAAATATAAACGAAGCACATCCAACCTTTATTCCCAGAATAATATGTTGCCTCAAAACGAGAGTTCACTGATGAATGCGGAGAATCTGCATGAACCTATTCGTGGTACGGCTGTGACCGAGGGAAGTGATCGTGCTAAGAAAATTTCTAACACGCTATCAGTAAATGGTAAGTACCCTCCAACGAATCAATCACAAATTTGGGTTCGCTCATCCGTTTCCAACCGTGTGACGGGAAAGTTGCCAAACATTTTGCGTAATTTCAAAAACAAGACAAGGTTCAAGCGAGACCCCCTAAATTTTAAGCTTGTCTTAGATTCGCGGGACTCGAATGCGCTGGCTAAAAATTATAGGTGCGTTCCTCAAATCAAAATTGACCAATGTAAAAATGATAGTAGCGATATAAACGCCCGTCCTTTAAAAGACCACGACGAAAATTACACCACGAGTATGTCGAACGAAAAAAAGCCTTTTTTGGAACCCTTAGCTCCTGCCAAAATATACCTACGAATTAAACCAAAATCCAAAAATTTAAAAAAATTATCAAAGTCCGATCAATTATTGTATACGGATAAACCGTAAATTGGTTTATACAATGTCCTATTCCTACAAATAAATAATGTGTAACAAATAAATGTATAAATTTTCGTACTAACTTTTAAAAACAAAACAAAAAAATGTCTCAGTTATTTTTTTTTAAAAATAAATTATATAAATTTATATAGTTTAAATTTATCAAAAATATTTTTTAAAGAAATAATAAATCATTTTGTTTTTGTAAATTATCAATTTTTTGTATTTATTTTTTGATTATATTTAAATCAAAACATATTATTTCTAAAAAATAAAAATTTATATCACAAATTGATGATCTTCTAATCATTTTTCACTCTTCGTCGACAAGTATATTTTTGGAAAATTGAAACGGCTAACTCAATATTTCATCCAGAATAATATTACGCAACCCTGAAGATTTTGTTTGTAGAAGGAACAAAGGTTTGGACATCTATTAGCGAAATCTCGAGGCTTAGGCAATATTTTTCTGGCTAAAATATTGATTTAGCTGTTTTTAAAAATAGGCTCAATAACGAGCTGTTTAACAAACACTAAAAAAAAATGAAAAGTTTCCCTAAAACCTTGATTCCAAAAATGGCTATGCCAAAAAATTATAGGTTTTCAAGCCTTTAATTTTTAGCTGGGGGCCCTTTCGTGACTCCCGACTTTCTGGATTTTTTTTATGAGAATTTTATCAACAAATTTAATAATAACCTATTTTTCAAAATGGATACAAACCCGCCCCGGTCCCGAAATACTCAGTGTGTGAGTGGTTGCCCAATCATTGTTTGTGGTTAGTGTTTTAAAGTTGGAAAAATGTTTTAAAAAAAATAATTTATAATTTTTGGAACAGTGAACCTAGTTCGTAACCTTGGAAAAAGTTAGCAACTCAAAGGCTGATATTAGACAACACCCCTTTACGATAGAGTTTAGATCCAGAACCTTTAAAATCGGGTGGCCAAATGGAATTTTTTCTATAACATACGCTAAGTATTTATTCTGTGAGTTTAAAGATTATTTTTCTGAGCATTTTCATTTTAATTTTTTGCGATTAAATGAGCCATTAACTATCAAAAAAATTAATTTTTACGACGATAGACCCAATTATCAAATGTATCTTAAATATAGTTCGATATGCAATAAATTATCGTGAAACTTTAACAACTTTGGTATTTAATTTAAAATATCCAAATTTTATTAGTTAATTATAAAATTAATAAATGTACAAGTTTGACGAATTAATAATTGATTTGAAAGGTAGGGTTTTAATCGATATTTTACTAGTAATGATATTTTTTTTGGATCAATATTTTATATACAAAGGTTTTAAATTACCATCATTGAAATTTTAAAGAAATAATCTGTTAATATATATATTTTTTTATTCTACAGAAAAAAAAGTAATTTTTTATAAAAGTAAAAAAAAAATAAAACAGAAAACAATTTTTAAAAGTCCATGGATTAAAAATATAAATATATTAGTCAAAAAATACCTCTTCTTTTCTCTCTCTCCCGAATTCAGGTAATTAAGTATGTTGTGGGAAAGAACAAAAAATAATAGATTCTTATATATAAGACTATATTAAATTACAAAAGGAACAGGAAATAAGGGAATTACCATCGACCAGTCGAATTGATAGTGTGGGGATTCAAACTCGCTCCTTTTACGACAAATGTGGAGAAGAGATAAATTTAAAAAGTTATTTTATATGGATATCATATTCGCTGAAAGAAGATCCGTAAAATGCCGAATAGTAAATTTTCTAAAAATCTAGCCCGGGCCAAAGAATCAGAGCCGGGCCGACTTTTTTTCTTTTTTCCGGGCTGGGCAAATGGTACCTCTGCAGGCCTCTGATGTAAATAAAATATCAACCTGAATAATGTTTGGTCAAATTCAGAATATTAACAATAAATTTTTGAAGTCTGCATTTTGCACATTTTTAAGTGATTATAATTAAAAAAAAATGGATCATGGGGTTATTGTCTCTCATAGTCCAATAGAGATTTTTCGAATCTTAAATTACTCGATGAATATCTAGTCCAATTCCGGAAATTTTAATAATTCACCGTAGTTTTCTTTACATTCGTGCACTCATAAAACATTAACCCCCGCCTTTAAATTTAATTGTTATTTAGCAAATTGCTATATGTTAACTTTGCACCGTTGAACATTAACCAATATATTTCATGTTTAAAGTATACAAAGAAAACTATAGTGGGGGGGGGGGAGGTTGTTGAAATATTTTCTCGTAAAACGAGTTCTTTTGAGGTAGCCACATTTTAGAACGACGACGAAACTCGCCAGATATGTTTATTGGAAATAAGGATTTGAATATTTTTTTTTTTATATAATTTTGGAAATAAAAATATAGGAGGAAGGCATTATCGTAAAGTAATAAATAATTTATATAAAATTAGGCATTTTATATTATAAAATATCAAAAATATGTAAAATAACAACCCCCTTTTATCGCAATTCAATACTGTAAACATTTACAATTTCCTACGGCTATACCTATAGACTTATATGTCTATTCTATACTTAACATGTTATATTTTATTTATCATTTGAATCATATTGTTAAAAGTAATCATCATTTTTGATAAACACAAGACATTAAAATTTTTAAATCTAGGCCTGACCGTGCTTGAAAATTCATGTTAATCGGGCTTAAAATATCTATCTTCTGCTATATCTAAGTGTAGTAAATATTGTAAGATTGCATAACAAAGTATTTTAAAACGATAGCGTGATCTATATTTGACTTTTTCTATTCCTAAAATTATGAAAAACTAATTATTTTTTTTTCATTTCTTTTATTAATACTCATATTATTAAATATATTGGCAATAGACATATCTGGGTGAGTTTCTAAAAGTGGAACTATCTCAAAACAACTCAATTTTGCTTTTCCGCCGGAGCATCAACGTTGAAGATCTAATTTATAGATTTGGACTAATAGCGAGTATATTATGAGATTAAAACCAAGATCGTGCCTGAGTTCGACTTTGAGAGCCCATAACTCCGGATCCATTTGAACTAGAGCTTTAAAACTTTGAGAATTCTAAATAACCATCATACTAAGTTTTATTAGTTTTCAAGTATAGTGATCAATTTGTTATGAAATAAACCATTAATTCTTTGCGTTTAGTTTGGATGAACTATTTTCAAAAATTATAACAAAAATATATCCGTTACAATCATTATTACCAATCAAATAAATGATACTAATACAAGGGCCTAAAAAACAATATCTATCTAAGAAAAAGTATAAATATTTCTAGACCGATATTAAACTCTATAATAGATTTATTATTGATGATAGCTGACATAAATATTGTATCAAATAATAAAAATCTTGACCATGAAAATATTTATCAGGGACTGAAAGAAAATGAGCCTGTCATAAACTAATGAAGAAGCAATGAATGTATCAAAGTTTTCTCATATTACAATGTAAAATATAAAAATTTAACAATATCTATCTAAGAAAAAAATTAAGAAAAAGTATAAATATTTCTAGACAAATATTAAACTCTATAATAGATTTATTATTGATGATGAAAGCTGACATAAATATTGTATCAAATAATAAAAATCTTGACCATGAAGATATTTATCAGGGGCTGAAAGAAAGAGCCTGTCATAAATTAATGAAGAAGAGAAGGATGTATCCAAGTTTTCTCATAATACAATGTTAAATATAAAAATTTAGTTCCACTGCCTAAAAAATAAATAATGGAGTACTAACTAATTCTTTGCGTTTAGTTTGAATGAACTATTTTCATTCCTAAAATTATAATAAAAATATATCCGTTACGATTATTAGTTCCAATCAAATAAATACTAATACAAGGACCATACCCAAATATAAAATAAAAACTGGTGAAGAAGCAAAGGATGTACCAAAAAGTTTTCTCAATGATCATGCTAAAAGCTAAGGTGAAATAAAAATCGATTTGATTAAAATCGCTCACGTGGATTTAAAAAATCACATTGGTTTCAATTATATTTTAAATAGAGAATAGAATCCCTTTTTTTAAAAAAGTTCATTCTACCTGGCAGGCGAGACAAGCATATTTTTATCAAAATAAAGGTTATGCATAAGATTCTTCTATATTTATTAATTCAAAATTGTACGAAGAAAAATATTAAGGAAAAAGCAGTATGTATTCATATTTTCGATGGTAATAAAATAATGCATGCCAATTTGAAATAAATAAACATTTATATTATATAAATAATATACCATATAAATAGCATTTTATTCGATAAATTTATTATTATTTTCTTCTTTTTTTTAAAAAAAAAAATAGAGAAAGCTATATTTTATCATGGAAATATTATTATTGATTACAATTCAATTTTAACCGACATTATTAATGATTTTTTTAAAAAAAAACAATTTCCAAAAAATTATATTTTTAAACATTTATTTTATTTTTTTTACTATTTGGGAGTAAGGAAAGTTGGGGAAGAAATTGTATAAAAAATAATAATAATTTAAATAAATTCGTTTATAAGTTATTAAATATATACAATTTTGTTATATATAAAGAATTGTTTTTTATTCATTCCATTTTACTATGCCTGCAATTATAATACATTTACTTATATATATATATATATTATAAAAATTATTTATATAAAAAAAAATACATGACCATATACAATCAAATCAAACGTGCAAAAAAAATAAAATAAATTAGTTTCAAACACAGAAGATTATCATGTACACTTTGTTTCGCGAAAATAGAATATTGTTATTAGAATCATTTATTTTACAGTAAATCACAAACTATTACTAACCTAATGCATATCTATAAAAAAAAATTTGGACATGTTTTTTTTACGAAAAATAAATATATAAATTGAACAGCGAAATGATTATAAGTGGTTGGCTAAAATATTGTGTTATTTTTTTTAAAAAAACATCAAAATTTAGCGGAGATTATATATTTTTTTTTTTAAACAATTATATCATCAAATTTCAATTTTTTTAAAAAAATGAGCTTATTTGTATTCATATCAGATATATAAAAAAATATGTATACTTTGATTTATATTTAGAGCGATTGGAAAATACAATTCAATAAGCTTATTATGTATTAAAAAAAGTAGTATTTTTTCATTTTTAAAAAATGCATATTTTTTAAAAAAATTATTAGTCCATCATTTAAACTCTGAAATAATTGATATATTTTTCATTCTTATGTTTTGGGTAGAGTTCACATAATTCAACCCAAATAAAGCTTTTAGATAATTCATAATTACAACTTAAAAAAAATGTAATATTTTATCATTGTAAATAATGAACAATTTCAGTGCATAAAACAAAGGAGAAGATGCGTCGTAACGTATATTATAAATCACTATCATCGGAAATACAAAAAATCAGAATAAAATTACAAAAAAGAAATATCCTCTTAAACAGCTTGTAAGCAAACACATCATTTTGTTTAAAATATTTTAATTCTTAAATTATTAAAGTTTGAGTTCGTTGGCGATCTTGGAAGCTATATTCTTAAAGGCTATGGACGTGCCAGAGATGCGTTTAAATCGAACGCCGTTGACGGATAAACGGGGCAGCTTGCAGACTTCCATTTCCCACTGCACCAAGTTGGAATTAAGTGTTGTCCCGGGGGTTGAGATGCCTTCCCCTCCTCCGGGCGTTGTTGGAAGATGAGCCGAAGGGTGAGCCATGGGAGGCGAGGATTCTCCGTGAGAGCAGAGCAAAAGGTACTTCTCACGCTGTTCGTAATCGCAGGCATTGGCGTCAAGGACCTTGCGTATTTCGCGCATGATGTCATTGGGGTCCATGGCAGATGTTGTCTTCATGCTCCACGTGAAACGCAAGGAACGGGGTTTTCCGGCCGTACCACCCCCACCGCCGATTGAAGAGAGTGAGGATGGAGTTGTAACATAACTCGAAACGTAAGTCGAGATGGGAGGCGGGGGAGACGAGGAACCATGAACAGTGTTGTAGTTACCACCACCACCATAAATAGTAGAAAAATTAAGAGTGCATGCCTTGTTATTTTCAAAGAAGGAAGAGGAAGAAGTGGGCTGAGGAGACACGGGGGTAGGACTTAGAAGGCTCCCCGTATCGCTAGTATTGCTAATGTTACCACTGACGTGATGGTGGGGGTCGAAGGTGGAGGGTGGACTGTTGTAAACTGAAGAATTAAGAGGGGTATTGTTGTTGAGATTATAAGTAAAAACGGGGGAAGGCTGGTAAGGGTTTTTGAGGATGTGGTCATCACCTATCATCCTGGTTATAATAGATTATATTTATTAGATTATGAATCAGATAGGAATTTTAAAAAAAATAAAATGTTCAAGAAATTTGTGAGTTAAAAAAAGAAGATATATCAAACTTGGGTGGTTTGGGTCTCATCAGATTATCTTCGGTTAATTTGAATTCTGGATATCTAGGAAAATTTTGACAAATAAAATTACTTTATTTTGAAAGGCAATTTATAGATTACAATTGAGAAATTTATGGGCAATATTTTTTAATTAAAAAAAAATAATTTAAATTTTGAGGGAAGCTTCTGGTAACGCAATAACAACACCCTTTTTAAGAGCTATTTAAAGAAAAGTTTTATATTGTTACTTTTTAACGAACTTAGACGAAATTTTGCTGAGGAAAGTGTTGGGCGATCGATGATAATAATGGTCAGCATGATGGTGACCGTAATATCCGGTTCCTGTTCCATGTTGACCAACATGATCGTCTTCGAATGGTTCCTTGTTTTCGAAGAGTGGAGCCATTCCCCCAGCGCCGGTAGATGTAAGGGCCGCTGCCAGCAATCTTTTACGGTCTCGAGTCTGTCCCCCATGAAAGGTGTTTCGAGAGCCAGCTCCCCTAGCAAAAAGTTTGGCCGATTCTATATCACTTGTCGTAATGGTTTGCGTATGGTTAAGGGAAGGAGAGGTTGACAAAGAAAGTTCTTGAAGGTTTTTCACCAAGGCCGAAGGATTAAGAGGGGTCGAAGAGGAGGAAGGGGGAGAAGGTAAAGAAGGAATCACGGAAGGGGTTAAAGATGGTGGTTGATTTTCAGTCGATTCTGGTTGAGGCGTAAGTTGGGAAGTGCTTAATTAAATAAATAAAATGTCATATTAGTAGACTTGTGAGGTCTCGAATATAGCCAGACCATAGTTAAAATTTAGGTTCGATTTTTATAAATTTCTTATTAATTGTCAGGTTTGGGTGATGATAGATGGTAATTATCAAAATAATATAGAAAGTTAAATGGAAGATATTATTTACTCTTCCTTAGCCGCTTTTGGATCGTTAGGATTAAGCTTTTCGCCATAAACATATGTATTTCTCCTAGTAATACCGGCAAGCATGCTGTTGCGCCCTTGGGTTGCACTTTTACCGATTTTTAATGTGGGTTGTAACAATACCTAGTTATATTTCGTATTGAAAATTAAATATCGGTATTTTTCATCTTTTTTATTATTATTAAAAAACTTATATTAAGGCTAATTTATGCATTTATAAAACGAAATGAGATCAAAATACTTTGCCAGCAGCACTAGATTGGCCTTGGAACTTAAAATTTTTGGCCAACAGATGTTGTATATCGGGGGTGTTATGCTTGAATACGGCCGTCGCTTTGTTGATACCGCTACTAACCAAGCCTGCAGCTCCACCCATAGTTGGAGCGGCTGGTGTAGGATTAACGGATGTGATTTGATGATTAACGTTGTTACCAACATTAGCTATAAGAAATTTAATATGAAAAAATTTTGTAGCTACGAATAAATCCTTTAAATTTAATTTTCTGCAAACAGAGCAAAATAATTACTTTTTAGGTTGATCGGTTCGTTGCCAGTCGCATTGGTGGTAACAATGTTGGTGCCATGAGGGTGAGCTTTTCTTGCTCCTGTCCCAAATTTGCCGTGATGAGTAGTGACCAGAGGGTGGTGACTTTTAGGACCAGCCGAAGCACTACCTACGTACCCACCCCCACTAACATGAGAAGGAGTAACGCCGAGGGCTGCAGGTGCAGCATTGTGAGAACCTACGCCTCCGGCTGTTTTTAGTTCACTCGTTGGTCTGCTAAGTTGCTTAAGGGACATGCTAGTACTGATGGACGCGTCCCTAGATTCATTCTATTTTTTTAAGAGAGCATAAAATCTTAAAACCGAAATTTTCTGGAAAAAAATATGGTTTGACTTTTTTGTTTGACTTAATTAAATTATATCATTAGGAATTATGATATATTTCAAAATGAATTTTATAAAAGTTATGAAACAGAGAAACCCCATTCTAATAGCTCGAAATTATAGGAAAAATTGTACTGGGTGAAAGAGGGCTGTAAACAAAAAGTAGAAAAATAATTGTAGATGGATTAATCTTACTAATCTCAAAAAATGATAAAAGTTTTAAATGAATCTTCTTAAGCTAAACTAAAATGGCACGTCTAACCAAGAATCTGGACCCGACAAGACAGATTGGGTATGGGCTCAATTTCAAATATTTTTACAATGAGGTCTGTCTCGGTCAGGTATTACAAGTAAATTACTTAAAGTATCAATCGATAAAAATGATTTGTAAGAGTTAAAAAAAGCTTTCAATATAAATTTTATTATTACATCTAAAAGTATCATTGGCAAAAATTTTTTAAAAATGTAATCAAGTTAGGACAATTGCATCTTAATGCATTGGAAATGAAAACAAAAAATGACTAAAATTTGCAGTTGCTAAAAGATACTTTTCAAATGTATCGAATAAATACATCGTCTAATACTGTATCTGCTCCTGAGATTATATGTTTACAATCAATTGAACTTTAATAGCTCTTCAACTAAAACTTAATATATTATAAGGTTATTATCAATCATTGCCCATAAAATAAAATTCGGACATGATATTTAATGAATTATATTATTTTATAAAACAAGCTCAAAAATTATATCTAGAGAGAGAATACCCTTTATGTATTATTTAGATACTTCAACAACTGTGAAAATTTGTGAACCCAGCCTAGACCCGAATTCAAAGAAAAAAGGGCTTATCAATTCTTAGGTCCAAGTTTGGTACTAGTGTTCAGAAAAAACGAGTCACAAACCCAGGTCCAGATCCCTGCGTTTAAATATACTTTGTATTAAATTTGCAAGATTCTAAAATAAATAAATTATAAACATTTGTGGTCTTCCTAGCTAATATAAGGTAACAGGCTGTTACGTCATCGTATTTGCGACTGCACAAAGAATCTTCGATTTCTTTTCTATTGTATCCGAGGGATAATAGTTTATCTATTTTATTATAATATAGAAGATGATAAACATAAGAATATAAAATTCTAATTCAACAAAAAAATATTAAGCAGTGATGTCATTAAGTCATCTCAAGAGGAGGACACGCTCAGTATCTCTCTTTATCCCTTATCATTGATCCGAGCTGAAAAGAAAATTATTTATGCATTCTCATATTAAATTGAGAAGTACTATTGGACAAGCTTTTGCCGCTCCTTAGCAACGGGTCAGTGATTAGGACAAGGAGATTATTAAAAATTTTTATGAATTTCTGGCAATAATCAATAGGGCAAGAAATAAATAAAACCCATTCATATTTATTTTCTAAATTCAAGAGTTTATTTTTAAACCTATTATTTTTTCTTCGTTAAATTCCTGAGCAGGCTCTGTAAATGGTTTCAACTCATCTTCCTCGTAACCAATATTCATCCAACGATCTTTCATGATGGTCTAATTTTGTAAAAAAAAATCAAAATATTTTCAAATTTTGCTAATTATTTTAATCTTTCTTTTAAGAAAAAAAAAATAAATGAAGAACTTAAAAGTTCATTCGAAATATAAAAAAACAATACACACTTAGCAAGGACGCTTATATTTTTAAGATACAAGTGTTTTATAGATGCACCCACTATTTATTGAAAAATGGTCCAAAATTTCTTTATAAAGCGTACATGTCTCAACAACTAGAGAAATACTGAATTACAGAATCTTATAATGTCGGGGACACAAGCGGTCAGGAGGCGGCCACTGTATATAGCAGGGATGCGCAAATTACTGATAATCCTCATGAATGCAGAGTTACAGGTTAGTTAATATTTTTTAAGGTATTCGGTCAATAACATAAAACTTCACGTTGCTGGATACAAATCAGCTGGTGAAAGGTCATTTTAGTTATCAATATAATTTAATTTTTGTTTATATGGGAAACCAAAATGGCGTGCTGAATTGTATTTGATATATATATTCAAATGAATAAATCGTCAGTATAGCCATTATTATATGTCATTCTAATTCGGTATGCGCCAACATGATGGATATCTACCATCTCTGGTATTATAAAGCAATTTAATATCGATTTCGATGTCTGGGGAATTGATTGAAAAAATCAAATTAATACAAATGTCATTCAAATCAAACTTCGAGAGAGGCCCTTTTGGTAGGATTGAGAACTAGAAATTTTTTCAGAAGGTTTTCACAGTCGGTTGACATGTAAAACGGGATCCGATATTTTCCGCGCAAAACACGTTCTCTCAATTCCTAAAATATTTAAAAGATATATTTGATAACCCTCAATGGTTCCGTAATGTTATTTTTTTTTTAAACTTTCAAAAATTTGATTTTTTTTCCATAGGAAATGCATTCTAGCATGTGCAGAACCTATACTTTAAATTTCAGAGAATTTTTCCGTTATCTTTTAGGTCATTTATAATTTTTTATAAAAACTAGTAATCAGATTTCATTTATATTTAAATAAAAAGAAAAGTCCTCAAAAAAATGATTTAAAGTTATAATTAAGGACTCAAGGCTGTAAATATTTTTTTTATTAGTTAAAAATATACTTATTTTTTTTGTACCTACAAACATTAACGCCAATAATAAAAAGAAATTATTACAAGCCGCAACCTTCATTTAAAATGTTAAAGGATAAATAAAGGAATAAATATGGGAAATTAATAATATATCAAATCAAACTTTCAAGTTTTGTCCGTCGAAAGGCAGTGAACCACTGACCAGCGTGTATAATATGACGCCTAAACTCCAAACATCCACCTCAGGGCCATCGTATTTTTTCCCTAATTATTTTTTTAAGAAACAATAGATGAGAATATTTAATCTTTGAAAGAATTGAAACAATGTATGAACCCAAAACATATCATCCCTCTTCAATTTCTTTTAAAAATCTTAAAACGCAATTTATATTCAAATTAAGTTTAATTGCAATGATTGTACATGCGAATAAGAAAACAAAAAATGTTTAATAGCGCGTACAAATTGAGCATTTCGATCAAACGAAGATAATGTATTTCAAATGGTATCGTGCCAATTGGTTAAATTAAGGTTTGGCGCTTGAAATCATTTTAAAAAATGGAAATTGGGTTTTTCTCAATACTTCTTAATTCACTCATTTTGCACGTTGGTCTACGATCAGTTCTTTTAAGAACTTGCTTTTTTTCTCAAGAAAGTCGACAAAACCTTGCAACCCAGATAAGAATAATTAGAGGGAGGACATTAAATCCCCTCCTACTAGTTTAATTTATAACAAAATGTTTTAAAAAATAACTTGTCAAAAATGGAATATTTAGAAATTAAATAAAATATAAAAAGGCAGACGAGAATATAATTTACAAAAACCAATTATTTTTTTTTATAACTTTAAGTTAAAATTTTGAATCGGCGATACTAATAAAAAAAAGACAACCAGTAGTGCAAACAAACGATAAATTTGTGAGCACTGTAAAAGAAATCATATTTATGTTTTGACATTTTTGTTTTTTCTTCTTTCGCTAATAAATCCGGATACATTATATTATTACATAGTGAAAAAAAAAGATCAATAATTTGGACCAAGACTAGGTAAATCAGTCCTAAGTTAAGTTTTTAAAAGCGGACCGTGGTCCGGTATTTTATCAGAACAGTTGTTAGGACTGGTCTTAGACCTTGACTATATATGATATATATATAAATTTGAGTTTAAAATGCCCTTCAAAATAATAAGTATTTGCAATATTTATCTAATCACATTAGAGGGTTTGTAAATTTAAATCTACTGAAAAATTTTTTTTTTTGGGGGGGGGGGGACTGAAAACTAATTTTAACAAGGGAAAAACTTATTAATTTTTTTTAGAAATATAGTAAACTGTATACAATGTAAATATATTAAATAGTGATAAAAAAAAAGGAATATGATTAAAATTAACATAAAATTTTCGAAATATCTTAAGATTATTTTTTTTAATTCTGGGCTGCAATCAAAAATGTTTTTTTTTCGAAATTCTAATCAAATCGTAAAATGGTAAATTTTTCAAATTTACTAGAAATGTTTTCATTATTTTTACTACAGGATAGATAAAAAGGTTTGGGGCAAATTTCGAATATAAATAATAATTCACATTTTTTTAAACATAAAATTTATAATAATGTTTAGAAAAGCTAATTTATCAAACAAATATGAAATCTCAAAAGCAAACGATAATTGTGCGAACGAAAAATGGTAACCAATTGTTTTTTGTAATTTATAAAAAGTTTTTGTTTTTATCTTCAAATATTAAGTTCAACGATGAAAGACATGAATTATAAATTAAATGTCGGCGTGTTTTTGTAGTACCAATATCGTAGGTGAAAACAAATTTAATTTTAATTGACAAATTATCAAATCCGACATTTTATTAATGATAAATAATATCGATAAATTACATTTTAAATTAAATCGTTCTATAATAATAATGTAATTTTCGTTGTTTTCGCAGTCATAAAAAATATATTATAAAAGTGCGTGAAAAAGAACAAATTTTAATATTGAATTGACATCATTGAAATTCATGATCGTAAATTAAATTTAAACAACATTAGTTTAATTTAATTCCATTCTAAAAAATAAAAAAATCAGACATTTATCCAAAATTATATCCGTAATTTCTTTTTTTCTTTGTTAATTAAAATAAAAGGTAAATTTCTTTTTACAAAAATTCAATATGGAATATTATATTACCTTGAAATAATTCGGGGGCAGCGTATGGCGGACTTCCACAAAATGTATCCAATTTATTGCCGAGAGTGAATTCGTTGCTGAAACCAAAATCGGCTATTTTGATATTCATATCACCGTCAAGCAACAGATTTTCGGCCTAAAGAATCATTCATACATTTTTTTTATTTAGAATAAATGAAAAGAATAGTGAGCCTTAAACTGTCCCGATTATTAAAATATTTAGATCAAAGTCCGGGTTAGGGCCGACTTGCAAGACCCTAAGTATCCTTTCGACTAACCTTAACTGTGTATAGAGTAAGGCCGGATGTGTGTTAAGTTAGTGATATTTTGATCCGAGGGATGGAATTCCGCTATTTTTAGCTGGCTAAAAAGCGAGCTAAACATAACTTTTAGCCAAAAACTATCAATTCAGTTTTTGTGGTTTATTTTTTGAAAATACACCTAGGCCTTCAATAAAGCATTCCGATATTCGTATAAAATCGATATCGATGGGATACTTAGATTGAGTTTTATTAACTGTATATCCTCGAATCAATGAGTGATGGATAAAAAATCAATACTTTTATTTGCGAAAAAAAAATTAACTAACTGTAAACTACGAAATTTTCGATTTCTTATTCGCTTCATTATCACAAAATGATTTAGTGTATTTCCTTTTTTTTTAAAAAAAAATTCCCCATCTCGTATAAAAAATGGCAAATTTTTAAGGATGAATAAGAAATTGGTTCAATATTTTTAATATTCTTTTAATAAACTCTAATAATATTTATAAATAAATCATAATTAATAACCCAAACCTATGAAAATATAGAATCAGTTATTTTAAAAATATCAGCCTGATCTTATTTTCTTCCAAATGATCCGATATTTAATATCGACAAAGCTCTATTAAATATTACGTAGCGCTTCATAGATTATTGGATTTTCTTAGGCACCTGTAGATTGAGCCAAATTAATCGATTTTTAACCATTACTTAACTACTGGATAATGATGTATTTTAAAAGTTCCTGAAATTTGTGGGCAAAAACATATTAGAAGCCTATGGTTATATAGCCTATCCTATCAAAATAAAGATAATCTAATAGCTCGTCAAATATATTAATAACCAACTTACATTCATAATCTGACCTTACAATTAGAAAAAAAATAGGGCTGTACCGATATTAAAAAGCGGATCGGGGCCAAAATTAATAGTTTTAAAAAAACATCAGATCGGGCTAATATTTTCCAAAAAACCTGTCCAATCCCGATAATTTTTATTGTTTTATTTTATGATCGCAATTTCACATATATTACAATCAAATCGGGTAATAAGTTAATACGCGTTATTGTCCTTAATAAGAAGGCGTATCTATCTTACAAGTCTGAAATTTATAGAATAGTTATTCTACACATATTAGAATATGCTATCCGAAATAAAATTAGATTATTAAAATTGGAAAAATAAGCCAAATAAATGATTTAAAGTTGTTTAAATAGCGTAATTATTTGTTTAAAAAGTTTTTTTTCTACATTTTAACAACCTGATTAATTACCAGAAATTAATTATCAGTATGCGTGAATGTAAGAATGCCTATCCTTCAAATTTTAGACAATTTGATCATGAACTTTCAAATCATTTTAAATTCACATCTTGGCAATATGCGAACACCAGAAAAAAATTATGTCATTTTATTCCCTTTAAATTGCCACAAGTTAAATAATAAATGATAATTATTCAACAACTATTTCACATATTCTTAGTTTTTGATGCGCACGCATTTATTAAATATTAATTTTAAGATTTTTCGTTATATATATTTTATTAAAACTTTTAAAGTTCATTATAAAAAAAAATTTTTTTTAATAAATTATATATAAAAATATTTTAAAAAATTTATTCAAACTTTAAATTTTACCTGCCAAATTTCACAAAAAAAATACCATTAAAAATTAAGTTCTTAAAAATTTAATTGACAATGACCTTTAAAATATTTTTCTTACTTCATGTCCACTCAAGAATTATATGTTATTATAAATAAAATTATGGTATTTCCATATGTGATATTTTATGAGAGAAAACGCAACACAAAAGGGTATTTTTATTTGACTTTAGTTTTCTTTCTTAGAAAATTTAACTATCTAAAAAAAATTGAGCTCCAATTTAAAAGATGAAGTAAATTCGGTTAAAAACGTTATCCCCCCCCCCAATCCGGTAGAAATAAAGGATGAGGAGACTTTATCGATAATTAAATGGCGAAAACATGCATCCCGGTTGCTTTGCAAATTTGCACAACACTTCTACCCTAAATGCTTTAAATTTTATAAATAATTGTTTTAATATCTTTTATCAATATGTAGATTTAACTGTAATATAACTTAATAAATTTTATAAAAATATTTCCAAACCCGTTGTTGATGCGCTCTCACAACATTTTTTTCACAAATTATTGTAATAAGATGTCTTAGATAGACCAAATAAACAATGTTCATAAAAAAAATTAAATTTTGGTCTGTAGCAATTCCAATGATGAATATAAACGATTAGATTGACGATTCGTTAATTAAAAATTCCCATACATAAGAAGGCGCTCTTTTGTGGTTTGTCTATTTTTATCCTTATATATATGCACATAGCGCAAACCACAAAATGGCGCTATTGTATGTTTAGTATCGCCAATCTAGTAATATACATACATCATTGGGTAATTTTAACCTCGACAAAAAATGGGTTAAGAGAAAAAATTTAAAGAAAATATATAAAAAATTATTATAGCATATTTAAACGCTCTAGAACTAGGCTCAAATCTGACCTATATATCTTATCTGGATTGAGTAAAACGGAATGATTTTAAAGAATCCAAAATTGAGACAGATTCAAAAATCTAAAAATTCCTGGTTAATTTTTTTTAAATTTATATTTGCATTGGTACAATATTTTTTGGACAATGTTGATATCAAAAAAAAATTACATAATTAATTTTAAAAAAAGTAAATTTAAAATCATCAGTGTTTAGTTATTTTTTTAAAAATATTTTATTATTTTAAGAATTGAAATTTACAAACGAGAAGAAAAAAAATCTTCTTTCTTTCTTATAAATTTGATAGATTTTTATTTATGAAATCATGGTGTGAGTATTTTTCAAAATTGATATCAGCCAAATATTGAAGGAATTGCTCAAAATCAATACTTACTTGCAAAATCATATAAAATATTAAGATGCACAAGTAGATTATGTCTTTTGAGTCTCATGTACTTAATTACTAAGTATTGTTAGATTTTAATTTTTTTTATTTATTATCAATAGAAATCAGTGATATTGGATAATCCATTTATGACTCATTCTGTATATACAAAAAGTTTTATTCTTTTTAAAGATGGAAAAATCCCCACTAGGCTACTAGTGGTTGTTGAAGCCAAGGCTAGGGTGAAAGATTTTTTTTCTAAATCCTCTTCTTCAATAATCAGGTTGGTTATTCATATCAAAATTTATTGAATTAAATCCATATTTTTAATAAATAATCAACAACACAATTCATTTTAAATTAATTTGTGTTTTTAAAAAATATATTGGGATTTCCTAAATTATATTATCAAATTTTTCTTTCTTTTTATAAATTTAAAAAACCAGTATTTTTTTTTTATTTGTTACTCCAACAAATATTTTTAAAAATAAAAGTAAGCAACATATTTTGCATGGTTTTCACTTCATTTATTTTCTACAAGAAGAGTTTGCCTCAGAAGTGTACATACATTTTTTAATAGTAAAAAAATAGCATTATTATTATGATACAAAAATAATTTTAATTAAGAAAAACGAAAAGGGAAGTTTCTTCATCACTGCATGACAATATCATATGCATTGTGCCTAATCTATCTCTGATTTAAATTATAGCAATTAATAAGATAGAATAAGTCATATAATGAATCATCTAACATTTATTCATATTTCTGATTTCCTGTTGGAAGAATACACAAAAAATACAGCCAATAATTATCTAAAATATTAAAAATTATAGACCATAAAATGATCAAAATTCTTAAAATCTGGAACAAGTCAAGCTTATATATTTTAAAATATCCTTTTCAAATCCAAGCTCTGCCTAAATATTAAACTTTTGCATAGTGAGGTCCAATAGACCTCCTAAAAATGAATATATATATAACATTAAATTAAAACAAGTTTAAACATTAGAAAATTAGGGCCCATCTGGTTATTTAGATTAGAAATCTATAAAGCCCAGCTTATCCAAATTTGTTTGGAAAAATTAAAATGGCTAGGTCAGGTATTTAAAAAAAATCGTAATAGGCAGGGTAAAAAATTTTAGAACAGCATAGGCATTAAAATTGAAATTGATTAATACTATAAGAAAACAAATAAATTACAATATGGTTATTTCTTTGCATTTTATGAGCTGTCTTAAAATTAAATAATATAGGAAATTATAGATTTGTAAAGCTCAGCCTGGCAATGTCTGAATTTTTTTTATTTGGGTCAGGTTGAGTAAAAAAAATTAACAGGGCAGAGGTAAACATTATTTACAAATAATATGATGAATTTTGATATTTAATAAAGTATAGTGTTTTTATAGTTATTTATTTTGTTGTTCAACAAAACATATTTCATGTTTAAGCTTTATATTTTTAAAAATTAAGAACTTGGAAAGGGCGATCTTTGTAAAAAATAGAAACTGGGCCAGGTCGTACCTTAATATAACTGCAGATACTATAGTAAATTCGAATAAAATTAAATTATTTATTTATCCGAATACAAATGCACAACATAATATTAAACACAATTGATTTATAAAATGATTATGCAAATAGATATTCATAGGTCTTAATTGAAATTGGGGAAAAAATTGGATTTAGATTATTTTGTCTAAAATCTTAATCAAGCCATTAACAACACTAGCTGGGCAAATTAAAAAAAATTAACAGGTTGGGCCAGGTAAATTTTAAAAAAAATTAAAATGGACCAGGTCAGGTCAGTAAAAAGATTAAAATGGACTAGGTCTGGTCAGCAAAAAAAATGGATCAGGCCAAACTTGTGCAAAAATTCTCAATGGGTGGCTTTGCTTACTTCTGATGCAGTTCCATAACCAACAAAATAATATATTTATTTGTTATGAGGATATGGCAACTTAAGATAAGTTGGCAAGATTGATTATATGTAAACATAGTTGTTAATAATTTTATAATTATTATTATAAAGGTTTTATTTAAATTTTTTAAAATTATTTCAAACAAAAATTTATATTAATTAATCATTCATTTTGTATATAATTTAAAAAAAAGTAATTCATCATTCCTGGCAACTTTATATAGGCTGAAAATTATATTGATATAGAATTAATTATTAATATTATTATTAATTTAAATTTCCAATTAGTCAAAATATTATTTATTATACTTTTAAATCTCTATGAATGATATTTTTTTGATGGCAATATTGTACAGCTGACACAATCTAGAAACATTGATAATTTAAAAAATATATTGAATTTTTCTACTTGTCTAAATTTGGCCCTTGCTTCTTTTTCCTTCATTCTACCATGAGCTACCAAGTAATCAAATACCTCACCTAACAAAACATTATTACTTATTTTAATATTTAAATAGGTTAACCTCCACTAGCATATTCCATAACCAAATATAATGTCTTTTCAGTTTCCATAACTTGGAATAATTTAACTATATTATTAAAATATTTAACAATAGATATATTTATATAAACAAATACCTATATTAGGATGATCTAAAGTTTTCATTATACGAACTTCACGAAAGAGCTAAAAAAATAAAGTATAAAAATTTATCATATTATTAGTTCCAATTTTTAAAGGATTACATGAAACAATCTAATGATTGCTAGATAAAACAAAATAAGCATGACTTCTCATAGACAATAAGATAAAATAAGGGAAATTCCAAACTATGAACATGGATTATATTTTATTTTCAAATTTAAACAAATAAGATATTTTAAATTATAGCAGCTGTTAAAAGTTACTATTATATTGATGTTCTATCATCCAATTATAATCTAAATAGATAGTATATTAAGAATAAGGATTCATACAAAAATAATTTATAAATAAAGCAATATCTTTCAACAAATTAAGAATGTGTATATTAAATTATTATACTTTTTGTAAGCTGCTTGGGTTTAATTGAGTTTTGTCAATAATTTTAATAGCAACCTATATATATTTGTTTATAAAATATTTTAAAAATAGATATAACCTCTTTTCCAGTAGGGATGTGTTTTGCTAATTTTACTTTAGCAAAATTTCCTTTACCAATTGTTTTAATTAACCTATATTTCCCAATATGAGGTTCTTCAGAACGGTATCTTGAAGATATTCTCATTTTGCAATATTCATCAGGTTTCTTAATAAATTAAAATATTTTTAATATTAATTGTTACTTGTTCTGTGATTATTGCTTCATGAACTGTTTGAAGTGGCATACGATTTGACATCTTTAAATATTAAGTATGGAGTTATAAAATGATATCATAATATATATTTTTTGTGTTGAAAATATTTTTTTTATCTGTTTTTGACATGTCGCCTTTTAATTTTGTTTTATATTATTTCATATTAGAACAAAATCAACGAGGTTTACATATTTAAAATATTATAATAATTGTGAAAAATTGTAAGTAACTATTATTATAACTTTATTATTTTTATAAATATTTTATATAAATATACTCTATAATTTTTATAACTTAATATTAAAGTCATTATAACTATATTACTATGACTATAAGGGATAAAATAAAGATTCACTATAGTATTAACATAATATTATATAATTCATAATTGCTAAAAATCTTATAAAGCTTATATAATATTATTAAATTAATCCATGATATATGTTTTACATAATTATTTATTCATTTTAAATTAAAATAGTTTATATAATTCGAAGTCCGCAGCATTCTTAAGTGGGGCACGCAACTCAGTTTGCATTAGTGAAAACCCTACTGATTCATCTATACACAAAAAAAAGATGAAGGATGCAGATATTGCCGTACTCAAGATATATGTGCTAAACATAATCACAATTCATATCAAATATTTTAAGGATTTTCATAATATATAAACATTTACTCATGTTTATTTTGAATTAGAAAAATAGAATAAAGATTTTTGTTGTGTTTTGATCTTATAGTATTATACATAATTTTTATCGTTTTTAACCTCTTAATAGTTAAAGGTGAAGACATGCACCAGGCTAGTTTTATTTATTATTTTTTTGGCTGATTTTTTTAGAATATCATATTTGGGCATTATCAATATAATTTGAAGAAATTGAGCATTTTTATCCACCAGTAAAATATTGAATAAGCTAAAGCTAACTTTAGATATTGAATTTAGTTTAGCTATCATAATTGCGGATATTTTTCAAGTGGATCTAGATATAGTTACATCGCCGAAAATGTATCTAGATGCATTGTCTAAAAACTAGATGCAGATAGAATTTTTATTATACTTATGTAAGGTATGCAGCCACGTACGCAGGAATTCGTTGTAGTGGGGAATAAGATAATTAAATTTTTTTATAAAAATTAATTAGAATTTCTTTAGTGACTATAAAATATTGATCAATTCATATCCAAATTAAAATATAAGTCAAATATTATATAAAAAAATTGTGTAAAAAAATTAAATCAAAATTATCTAAAAATATAAATATTCCTCTAATAGTATTTAGGTACCGCTTTTTATACATCTGCATCTAGATACCATATTTTGTATCTAGAAACTCAACTTGGCAAAATTGTAATTAAATCTAGCTATTTAGAAGAAATAGCGTAGAGGAAAAAAAGGGAATAGATACCCTATGACCACTATTATTTGATCAGCACTTGAGGATCTTGAAACAAAGCTCCCATGTTTTTGATTTAAAAGGAGGATATACCACCACTGGGTCAAAAAAATTTTTTTTTATAACGAGGGCCAATTTATGTGCCTGCGCGTGCCGTCTATTTCCTTATTTAAGATATACATTATTCTTCTAAAATGGATTCCTTTAACATATAATTAAAACTACTACCCCTTCAATTTCTAAATCTTTTTACACTAGAAAAATTGTGAAGAGCTATAGTGGTGAATCTCAAATTTTGTGGCAACAACTCTTATCAAATATGCCAAATATAAACACCTCCTCCCCCCCCCCCCCTTAATAATAAGAAGAATAAAATAAATATGTGCAAATATTATAGCTTTTTTAAAATATATAATATTTTTATATTATTTGTTCGGTTTCATATAGTCATTTTAATCTATTTAATCACATGAGTATAGTGAGATGAACTATCTGGCCATTCCCTAACAATTCATTCTATTAAACATTGATTAAATTCTCTTATCATTTATGAATTTTGTTATGTTTCCTTTAAACCTTTTAAAAACGAAATTAAATTTTTTTTTATTTGATATCGCAAATCATTTAAATAATATTTTTAATTATATTTAGGGACTTCTTTAATGAAAGGAAGGTGTAGTTTTGTTCCTGCTAACTTTTATTGGTGTAAAGGTTAAAAGGGGGTAAGGTATAAGAGAAGGCAAGATGAATAGGGGGCAAACGATCAATGGTCTATATCGAAAGGCTTCTCAGCAAACCCTAAATATGAAATATCATATATGTCTACTTATCTATTCATATCTTTTTGTGGATGCGGTATAATAACTGGCTATTCAGATATATTATTTTTTTAAACAATAAATCAAAATCCTCCGATTCTAGCATAATTGTCTTTATTTTTTTAGAAATAAAGAATCATCGGAGAAAAAAAAATTCTATCCACATTTCAAAAGATAACTAAATGCTCGAGTTCTAGAAGCACTAATTTCCGAAAAATATAATCGGAATCTCCCAAAATTTTAAGAGTGGTAAAAATGGTTAAAAGAGCCAATTTAACAAGCTCTACTTAAAAGCATGCAATGGGAGAGCGTGGTCGAGTTTTCTAAAATATTTTTAAAATTTCAAAATAACGAGTGGGTTGGCTTTTTGGCTAAAACCCGATATTTACATAAAATACGAGGTGTATTTGCTCATCCAAATTTACTGCAATTTTTGAGATTATTATTTTTAAAAAATAAATTTACACGCAATTTTCTTGAAAGAAAAGTAAAATGAACAAATCGATAAATAATTTATATTACTCTGTAACTTCAATTTATTATATAAATGATCTCTTTAACAAAATAATATTAGATCTTTTAAATGCTAATCATTATTAATATATATATATATATATATATATTATATATTTAAATTATTTAATTTCCTATTCTTTTAAATATACATGAACAATATCATTCGGATTGAGCCGAACTAATCCAGCTTATACCAGATTTTAATCTTTGTAATTGAATCGTAACAGTAACTGGACCTTATCTTTACACCAATTCGCTAAAAGTAACTTTTAAAAATAATTTTGAAACCGGTTAAAACCCATTTGTTATATATATGTAATATATAATTTAAGACCATAAATTTGATAAGTAATATAATTCTACGGGGAGCTCTTATTATTTTTATATCGGTTATTTTTTTTAATAATTATATTCTACTCATAATCTTCACTTCTTTTATTTTACTTTTATAGTTTTTTTTACTCTTTTTAAGCATTAGAGAAGAAGGGCAAAATCTAAAACTTATGTTATTTTAGTTTCTTTTTGGTCATAATTCATTATATATTAAAAACTGGAATTTTAGGGTTGAACTCTCACCCCCCCCCTCCCCCCATCCTTACATGCAAAATATGATCAGGTGAAAAAAAATTGTATTTTTTATAATATTTAATATTGACATTTAGAAGAAAAAAAAATTTCTTCATGTCATTAAAATTGATAATACCTTTTTCCACCTAATTTTTTAATTTTTTTTAACTCCTGTTATATAAACTAATCTCAGAAATATTTTCTTCTGTTTAGAAAAGTGGACGAATAAATAATGCAAAACTCTATGAAAATATAATCTTTTAATAAGACATTATTGCATCTTTTAAAAAAATAATTAGAACACATACAAATAATTTTTTTTTTAAAAGGGACACTTGACAAATGCTATATAATTGATATGGGATAGATGTTTTCACCTTTTATAATAACAAGCATATAAATGCATTTAAAATTGGTATTTATTTAAGCAATCGCTCTCCTTAGCGCTTCATAAAAAATAATCCATTATAATCTTTTTCATTTTCGCTGCCAATCCATCTTATTTTAGCATTACATTTTCCAAAGATGCCACAAGTTTATTAGACTACTTATTTATGCTGCTTCTATTAAAATATAAAATTATCAAAGCTACAGCCATAGACATCTAACTCGTATTTTAAAATACGATAAAAAGTTAATTTTCTTGATATAATTTATTTAGTACTTCTATACTTGATACCAATTATAGAAATTTCTAAGCACACTTAACTAAATATATACTAGTCAAGTATTACATATTGGACACTTTCAAAGGTTTGATACTTTCAAATTTTTGAAAATCTTGATTGAATGAGATTTTAACTATTTTACCTTAAAAAATACATATTAAATAAACAAAAAAATAAAATAATAAAAAGATCGTAAAATCATAAGATTCAAAAATATTTTGATTAGGGGAAAAAAAACTCTTAATGTATTTAGATGTATGATTGATTTTTGAATCGCCATTTAAAATCCATTATTTAAGATTCAATCTACGGTTTCTATTTATAGATCGGAAAAACTGATTGATAAATATACTAATCAGGCATTACTTATATCCGCACCTAAATATTAAAAGCTTCTATAATTTAAATGGCTTTATTAGGCCAGAGACTGCTAAAAGCCTGGTGACAATATTTTTTTGGGTCTAGGTCAAAACGTGACCCGACTTTTTACAAAATAAATTTAAAAATATATATCTCATCTGTTTATTACAATAATACCACATGATTTTTATTTAAAATCATTCTTATTTCTTTTAAAATTAATTTTAATCGTGATAATTTTTTCAGGCAATAAAAAAAAAGGAAGAATCGGAAGAAAATATAAAATTAATATTTCTTTGTACCAAGGGCTAGGTTTATTTATTGATGATGTCACTCACGGCCTGAGTGGTTGGACCTGCCCTTTAGAACCTTAAATATGCAATACAATAAATTCATGTTTATATTTTAATTTTTGGAAACATTTCTCGCATTTAAATTTAAGGATTCTGTTAAGGTGTGAACATGTATCAACCCATAGGCATAGCAATGGGGATGGGGGCACCCCTTCGACCCCCCCCCCCTCCCTCCACCTTCTAAAAATGTATTACTATAAACGATAATTTTGAATGAAAATTAAAGAAAAAGTTTACAAATTATAAAATAATAATGACTTGAAATCAAAAAATAATTTTTTGACAAATGAAAAAAACAAAACTATTATTTAAAAATCTTGAGGTAATCTTAATCTAAAATAAAATTCCCCTCCCCATTAGTAA